TTGCCATGCCTATTTGCTGGCTTACAAACCATACTCCTAGTCGATAATGTAAGAACTATCAATCTAAATATAAAATAAAATAAATATTTTACTCATAAAAATTAACCTTAACTTCAAAAAACAATAATAAATAATAATAATAATAATAATAATAATAATAATAAATCAATGCATATGCACAGGTTGGGACACTAGTTGTATATAAAAAGAGACAAAATTTCATACTGACGTGTCATTTTTCTAATGAAAAAAAAGGATAATAGTATTTTTTTTAATGACGGCTTGAAGTTAGATCTTTTGTATAGTACAATCCTAAAATTAAAACATACCATTGTGGTTTAGTTTTATTTCAAAAGAAAGAAAATTACTCTTTTCTTAATTTAAAAGTTAGAAATTATTCTCATACTTATAATTTTTATTGATAACAAAAAAATTTATATATTTTTAGTCTTTTAAATTTAAGTTAAGTTTGATTTTTATCTCTCAAATTTAAAATTATTTTTTTGTCATACTAATTTTAAAAATTTTGTTTTAATCTTTAAGTCACTAATAATATATCTAAAGCTATAGTTGTCAAAATATGTTAATTCGATCTGTTTGACCACCTCAATCCACTTTTTAAGTGGGTTGATCTGACCTAACTGACCAATCTTAATATCCAAAATCTTTTAACTCAATCCAGTCCACCATGGGTTGGTGGGCTAAACGGATTAAGTCACCAATCCACCTAATTTTTTTAAAAATGATTTAAAATAAACTCTAATATAAAATAATCTCTAATCTAAAGTAAAAATTGTCAAACTAAGTATCATGCATACAACATTAAACTTAAATTAAAAAGTGTACAACTTTAAATAATCAAAACAAAAAAAAATAAAAAGTGATTATTCATCAATATTAAACTTCATTGAAGATTTGAGTTTATAAATTTAAGTGAGAGTGGGTGAGGGTCCGGGGAAGAAGAAAAAAAAAACAAACATCATGGGTCTCACACAAAACATGTCAATCTAACCCATTTTGAATCACTCAAGCTTGCAAAAAAGGGGACAATGTAGGTTGGCCTGCTTACTAAAAGTGAGAATGATATTTTTATGTGAGAATTAGAACTATCACTCTTAATCATCAAATTAAAATAAATAGTCATGATCAAAACACTCATTAAAATATATCTTGATTTCTCACTTATAAGGTTAACCATTCAAATTTCTCTTACTCACACTCCCACCATCGTCACCACAACCACCACTAATATATTTTAATGAGCAATTGAAATTGTGAAAGATTAATTTGATAGTAAGAGATTGTGATATATTTTAATCACAATCATATATTTTAATTTGACGATTGAGAAAGATAATTCTCATTCTCATAAAATTGTCAATCTCATTATATATACCCCTTTTATACATACATACATACACACACATATCTCTCTCTCTCTCTCTCTCTCTATATATATATATATATATATTACATATATTTTAAGTTGTGGATGCAAAATTTTCATATATAAATCAGTAGTTTAGTTATATACTACATGTTCAAAAAAATATTTTTAGATGATTAATATTTTAAAAAAAATTTATCACTCTAATAAATCACTCATAATGGTTAGAAGAATGAAAGAAGAGTGATTAGAGAACAATAGAGTAATAGAAAATAAAAAGTGAAGGAAGAAGGGGTGAGTGGAGAAAATGATTTTTGGATGTAAAATTTATTTTAATAAAAAGATAATAAATTAAAAGAAATTCAAGAAATTAAAAAAAAATGAAAAGAGAGACGTAAAATGAGATAGATATAACATTTACCTATTTTTATATTAAAAGCAAGCTAGTAATAAAATTTAATAAAAAAATTATCCAACACATTAAAATTATTTCAACACAATCACTAACACCGAAAAAATTAACATTTTCCTTTATTAGCAAACACCAATAAACTTTTTGATTTTGTAAGTTGGAAAAAGTCACATATAAACACATACCGATATACCGCTCCAAATCAAAGTCAGTCACTAATAATTTTATTGATTAGAAAAAGGAGTCATAAGATTAAATGAGTTTTGTCTTTCCCAACCAAATACTCTTCATACATACAACTAGAGAATCAAACCATTGTCATCATTCTTAAGAACTCATTTATCATATTAAAATTATTAATAGAGCAATAATAAGGTACGAAATTTATAAATCAATAACTATTACATCCATCCTTATATATAAGAAAGAATCTTTCAATTAATTCCTACTCATTAAGAAAACTGTGTTAATTTAGTTAAGGAAAGAATCTTTCAATTAATTCACACTCATTAAGAAAACTGTGTTAACTTAAGTTTATATCAATTGTATTATTATTTTTTTTTCAAAATTACTCTTAAATTATAAAGGACAAAGCAATAACCCATCGAATTTGAATTTTAATAGATGGAATGATTAAACTTACAACATAATATCAATATCACTATTACTTATGATCCTCAATGGAAAGATCCACTATGATAACACTTAAACTTGAGAAATGACATTTAGGGCTATTTGATCGGCTTTGTTTAAGTTTGCTTTCAGAATTACATCATCAATTTCGTTGGCGGCCACGTGTCAACTTCTCGCTCTCTGATCTTTGCTTCTGCAACCTTTATTGGTGATCGAATCTAACATGATGAAGATGATAACATATGAACGATCGAACAAAATGACCTAACAATTAGACGATAGGTGCAAACACTTGTCTGAAAAACAAACTTCCAAAATTGAAAGATTTTGAATGAAATAAGTTGCTGACTGGCAAACAATTGATTTTCAATCAAGTTTTTAAAATGGAAAGCAGAAAAAGTGAATCAAACACCGTTAATAATTTGTAGTAAAGGTTTGCAAAATAGTCAAAGTGCATGTTAAGCTTTCACCGTTTTCCTATACGGATAGTTATACCAAAATTTGGCAACATTTACTCAATTTCGAATGAACGGCAATTACATGTTTCTTGAGTCCCGTTTTCTCCAGGAAAGGGAAAGGATAATTGTTACTAAGATTAAATATATCCTTAATCCCTAAACTTTTATCAATTTTCCAATTTCTATTTTTAACCTTTGAACAAATTTTTAAAATCCTTGAACTTTTTTTCACGTTAATATTTTGATCCTTGACATCAAATTTTTTTATGTAAAAAAAATGTCAATGACTAAACCCAAATAAAATTTAATAAGAGACTTAAAAATATATATAATCCTTATTACCGAGGGAGGGAAATAGGGGAATCCTTACGGAAACCAAAACATATAAGGGTTAACTCTACCCTATATTATGATCCTAGGGATATATGCAAATGCAAGAGAAGGGACAACGAAAGCTAGTTAAGATTTTAAAACCTGCAAAGAATAAACTCGAGACTGCATTTAAGTTTTCCAACAGGAAAAGCAGGATCCAAGCCAATTGACATTCTTATGCACCATTATTCTACCAACTGATGTTCCTTCCTCTTTCTTTTCTTTTTTTTTTTTTTTTTTTTTTTTTTTTTTTTTTTGAATAGATGACAATTTGAATACAAACAAAAGATTTGGAGAATTAACGATGGACAAACAAAGAAAAAGCAAAACTGATAACTGATACATACAAAACACGTCGAATAAATAGAATCAATAGACATACAAGGGGGAACAAAGCAGGTGAAAGAAAACACCTTTCAAAACTGCAGACAGATTTCCCCAACCTGAACATGGGAAAATATTGATTTCCAACCATCTTTGTTTCACTCTGGTAATTATCAACCCATCCTTGAGACGGCACTCGCTGATTTCACACTAAATTCTCATCTCTTCAGTACCATTTGAATGACATTTCGTTGAGAATGAGTCAAGTTCTGCAGTGCAAGACAATACATTTCACAAGTTAACATTTGTGGGTGTGTTAAAAGATGAACTTAATGATGAACATATTATATGATAACCTCGCAAATGTGATCCAAGAGCTCTCTGTCTGACTGAGAAAAGCTAACAAAGAAATCAACCAGGTAATTTGCCAGATTTATCTGTCAGTTACAACCATACTTGTTAATAAATACACATGCAAGTTGGTGCATCACATTGAACAAACAAAACAGACTCCAGAGCACAGACCTGATTGAGAGGATCGGCAACACTTAAAAGGTCATCTTCATACTGATCAACTTGATCCTTGTAATTTAGAAGCAAATTCAACAAAATAAAATAGAATAGATTATAATTTCAAAATAAAAGAGATATAATTGAATAATACAGAAAATAAGAGAGGTGAAAACTACTATAAGTCGAACAAACCTCGTTAAATACTTTTGCCATTGCTTCAAGATGTTCATACGTGGCTTTTCCCGAAGATGTAGACATTGAATAAAAAAATTCTTTATCATTTTCAACACCATCTGCTTGAACTTCTTCCCAGTCACTATCCTGAATAAACAGTTTATATAAGGTAGTGAGCTTACTCATTAGTGTATAATTATACACATCAATATGCGTCAAATTACCTCATCATCAGCGGCCGAAACTTGTTCTCGTATTTCAGATAATGCATCTGCCAATAAAGCTACTATCTGCAAGAAATTAAAAAAGAAAAAACAAACTAGGTTTATCTACAATATCTAAAAAAATTCAACTTTTACACATTTTCTCCTACAGATAACCGATAAATTTTAATTGGATGGTAACACAGTAGCATTGTTGCAATTCATCCTAGACATTCTGTCAAAACTGCACTTTGGGTTCCAAAAAAGCAATCATTTTCTGATATAACAAGTGCTAAAGAAGTAATATGAAACCATTCATGTATTTTGACCAACTAACAAGATGTTGGGATAGTTGACCATATCTTTTGAGATGAAGTAGGTGGAGAAGGGGAGGACGGACTGGAGGGAGCAAAGAAGGAAGACGAAGAAGTGGAGACACTAGGAGAAGTTAAAATAAGAATGGTTGCACTGATCAGAGAGGGGAATGAAGTGGTGAAAGAAATTGGAAGAAAAATATCAGTATAGGGAACCTGTATTTATTAAAAATGACATCCTTAGAAACATATTTGACTAGTAGAAGGAAGACGTGTGTATTTGAGAAGGCCCAAAATGTAAATCCAGCCCAAATAGATATAGAAAATTTGGCAAATATTACACTAGAAGAAAGAAAAATATCGTAAAGGAACTTGAGCAAGGCCTCTCGGGAGAGCATGGGCACTCCATAACTGCCTAGAATCTTAATTCCCTTCTGTATTTTCATCTATAGTTTTCTTACCATCAGTTCTTGTATCACTTTGGCAAAGGTCTGAAACTATCTATAATACAGGGAATATTCAGTATTGTTTTCGATATAATTTTGGGTACCTAATAGTATCCCTAGTGTTTAGCGGCGTATCCTAAAAATATAAATTTGTGACTTGATTCAGGTTGATGATTAAATAACTTGATGAAAGGTACTTCAAAATTTAAAGTGGGAAGCCTGATGATAAGAAAGACACTTGTGGGAAATGCATCATCCCAATATTTGTAGGAAGTGAGGTTTGAGCTAGGAGTCTTTCCATTCAATAATTCCATTTTTATGATGGGTATGTAAACAAATGAGCCTATGAATATGACAACGAACTGTCTGAGATATTTTGAAAAAGATCTAAACTCACCACCCCAATCAGTTTGAACAGCTTTGATATAAGTGTTAAATTGTTTTCAATCAGAGATTAAAATTGTTGAAAAATGCTAAGAGCTTAAGAGATTTTTGTTTTAAAAGGAAAATCCATGTAAACCTAGTACAAGCATCTACAGAAGTAGAGGTAAAGAAAACCATGATTAGAAGTTATTGATGCAGTCACTAAAAACAAGTTCAAGAGGATTACTACAAATGGCGTTGGAGATATGATGGCAATCTATGTGCCTTTCCTAGAAAAGAAGCAGCAAAAAATTCATTAACATTTTTACTCGTTGTACAGACGTTAAAAAGTTAAGAACAATTTTCTGAATGTTGGCACAAGGATGACCTAAGTGAGTCCCTAAGAGAGTAGGATGCATCAGAAACATAAGTAATATTTCAGTAGGATTGGTTATACCTGTGCAAAACTATAAGTGTTACTAGTATTGTCTTGTGATGTAATGTGCTTCAATAGAGAAAGAAACTAATACAGGCCATCTGAGCCCTTGAGGAGAACCTCATTGTTGTCCTATAATTTCACCAGCCATGAAAAGGGTAAAATTAAAATAAATAAATAAAATAAATTATCCCTTGCAAACTAACTCACACTAGCAATGGAAGGAACATAAGTTGCATTTTTTAGGGAGACTGTAACTTGATCAGGACCTTAAAACAGGATATTGTTTGATGTTTTGACTACTTGATGTAACATGATGGGATGCCCCCAATCAGGGTACCAAACAAACAAACATAATTTAAGGCATGGGTGCTGGTGAAGCAGACAATGGAGCAAGTAGTGGCTGCATACACAATCTGTAATACTGTTGGGCCAGGGTGAGTGGATTTGTTGTGGATTCCACTAAGTTTGGGCTTGAGAACCATATACAGAGACTAAATGGCTGTTGGGGATAGTAATTAGGTTCAAATCGATGATTACAGACAGATGCATCATGACCAAATTTGTTACAAAATTAACAATGAACCTGATTCTGGCCACCACAACCACCAAGGCTATAGGACCTAATCTTTCTCTGCAACCAACACAATGGCCAGAGGTCAGTGTAATTGTAATCTAGCTGGGAATCATTAGATAATGTTGTGTAGGATTTGCTTGAGGCTGCACTGAAACACTTGAATTTTGTGGTCCAGCCTCAGTTATATTGCTAGAGACAAGATTCTTGCAAAACTTCTCAAGATAGGCTTCATGTGCAAGGAGTGATTCAACTTTATCAATGATTAAAGGATCAAATTTACTGCTAACTAGGGAAATAGTTAACTCCTTTATCAGGTAGGCTCTCAATAATGACATCATGGTGTTATTTGGGAAAAAGAGTGTCACCAATAGCCGTGAGTGCATCAACAAGGGCCTGCATTCAAAGAAGGTATTCAGAGATGGAGTGACTTTCAATTTCATGCTCCTAAGTTCTGTTCTCAATTGCCATGCCTTGGCATTGGTGTGCAAATGAAAGGACAAGTGAATCTTTTCCTTAAAGTTCACAATAACTTTTGCAACCAAGAACCTGAGTTATCATTTCACGAGCAATTGAGAATTGAAGCCATGAGAGTAGCAATTGATCTTTCTTCTCCCATGCAAGAAATTCGTCTGAAATATGGCCTGCATCATGGTCTTCCCCAGAGAGGATTTTTGCAGTATCACAGGATTAACAGGGTTATGAAGCTAATAACCTTGATAATAGGTTTGAGTTCTTGACACCATTAAAAAAAATAGTTCTTGGTGTCAAGCTTTTAAAAAATCGCGTGCAAGAATGTTACATGTGAAGAGAATGAAGACACCATTGATGACGACTTGTAGGTGGACGGAAAGGTTTGCAACAGTGAAGCATAGATAGGGGTGGGAGAAAAATAGTAACTCATTGGGATTCAAACCCTGCTCTGGGTACCATGTAGATTTTCAGATAGAGACATGTAACTGAATCAAACAAAAACTGAATAAATTCATTACAGACAAAAGAAGTGTTTACAATGGTGATTACTCATCTATTTACAACAGTGTCAGCTAACTAACTGGACCCAAAATACTAAAACATTACCGAAGCCCAAAGAAGAAAAACAGCAAGTGGTATTTTTAAAACAGCTATATCTCTCTAATACTATGTCATAAGATAAGGCTCAAATAAGTTGTAAATAAGGTTTCCATATACACTAATAGAGTTTGATTCTTGCCACCCCCATTACTCTACTAAAATGTTGAATTTCAGCATGTGTTTCCACAATATTCACATTTCAAGTCCCAAGGGCTCATAATCATATGAGGGCTTGTGATATATCATAAAAGGAATTACCTTTGTAGGAAGTGGCAACATTACCCATTGATCCGGAGCTGATTTAGCTTTTGATCTTGTGGTTATTCCCATGCCAGACTTCATGAGACAAATAAGTTTAAGAAATCAGTTAGTATCCCCTCCCACGTCCCCCCTCAAAAAAACAAAAAGAGTGAAGAACAAATAAATAAATAAAATAACAGTAATACCTTAATCAGATGGCCCTGGACATGTGTTTTTGCCAGTTGATTATGCCTACTGGTTAGCAACAAGGCCAGGGCACTTGTAGTGACTTTGATTTGATAGGCCCCCTGTATCTCCCCTACAACCAGATATCACATGGAAAAACATTTACTTGATCTTGCTTGTGCACATAGCATCCCTAATTTATCATTCTCATGTTTGGCAAAGAGCTAAAAGTAACATAAACATGATTTTCCAGAAAAAGGATCAGCTATTCACACACATAGTGACAAATAAATAGGTGTGCGGAAGGGGAGTAAATATATTCAGATCTATTAATAATTTTTAAAATTGAGTATAAGCATTTTGTGAAACGAGAAATTTATTGTGCAGAGGAAACCCTTGGATTACAGATCTCTCTCCTATTTGTGTATTTTCCGTTTAATTCAATAAAATCCTTTTTTCTTTTCCCATTTCTATTCTTGGTTAAACCCTCTGGCATAACTAATAGTAGTGATCCTTAAACACTATTGGGAATTTGGATTTGACCCTTAACAGCTGAGTCAAAACTAACAACAGTTTCAACCATTCATGCATGAAAACTCAATAGCGATTACAAAAAAATATAAGTTAAAGAAACATACTTCAGTGCTATGGACAAACTATGTTGTGACAAGTTCAAAATTTGAAAAATAGAACATCTAAAAAAAAAAATACATACTACTGATACTGGGATACCTTAGCAATTATAATAGTGTAAGGACACTCACCTTGCTGCCTAGTCCATTCTGACATCACATAAGCAAAGGAATTATCATATCCTTCCACAGGAATTGAGATCAGCAAATCAATAAAGTGTCCAGCATTAACACTCATGTGTACCTGAATTTTAAGTATTATTTTGAAAAATTATCCCTACAGAAAAAGTGAAAGGGGGCAGGTTTCTTGCGAAACATAATGAAATACAAAATCAGAAGCTAGTGATAACTTGACATGAACCAGAAGTTAAGCCATTAAAGGATACCATAAAACACATGCTCTTACTAGCAACGAATAATAATTGACATAAGGGAAACACCAAAACTGGGAGAAATAGAAACATGAAACAGAGAAACATACAAGCAATTTGAAGATTATAAAAAAAAAAAAGTAGTTTTGCCATTAACCATTACCATCAAAAATTGACAGCAGAATCATTAAAAATCAATTTGAAAAATTGGCTACATTACCAGTCTGGCAAAAACAACCAGCAATGAGCTTTTCAAGGCATCAATTTGAGCAGATTGCATACGTCTGACAAGAGCAACAACCAAGTCTCGTATATGTACTGCCATCTGTGATGGTAAATGCAAAATAAGTTGAAGAATGTAACTCCCAACAAAGAGAGACCCAGAGCTTTCCAAATTGGGGTCTAGTAGTCTGTTCCAAATTTACAAGAAATCATGCAACAATTAGAAACTTGAAAAGATAACATCAGATACACCTGCACATGCACAAATAAGCAGAAAAAAGAAAATAAAATAAAACAATAAGATTTATCCAACCCGTAACTTATATATTGGTTTGGCTACTGCACTTAATGTCAATTGATTTTAAGATGAAACCTAATAGTATATAGTGCATCACTCATATTCAAGCAATCAAAGATATGAAGTTCACAAGGGCAAGAACACAAGATGGGGCCATAGAAGATTTTTTGATAACTATAGAACTGCATCAAGGGTCAAGTTTGAGTCACTATGTTTTTTACATTGGTATTGGATGTGCTCACTAAGCATATCCAAGAGTCAGTGTCACAATGCATGTTTTTGGCGGATGATAGAGTCCAAGTTAGAGAGTCAACAGAGAAGCAAATGATAAGTTAGATATATAAAGACAAGCTTTAGAAGTTCAAGTCTTTCATTTCAGCAAAAGATGGAGTATATGGAATGTAAATATTGTGAGATAATGATCCCAAACTTAGATGTGAATCTTGGAGACCATACCATACATATAGGTGGAGTTGTCAAATGAGCTGGTCTAGTGCCCAGCCTTGCCTACACAGGCCAATGCTTGTAAGTGGATTGGCCCAACTTGGCTTGGATTTCTCATGGGACATTTTTTTAAACAGTTCTAGCCCATTTTCCTGTTGGACCAAACCAAATTGTCCCATTTTTATTTCATTTAAATTTTATTAAAGAATAAAAAAATATTAATCCAAACAAGACTGTCAGGTTTCGGGCTTAAAAATTATTGGCCCAACTTCGTAATACTGTTGTTTATATACCTATGTGATATGTTGTTTGATTTTACATAGTTGTTTAAGGGAGATCTAAGGAAGAGAGAACTCTAGAGTCAAGTTGTGAAACCTTAGTTTAAGAATATGTTGAAGTTGGTCAAGACAGGGTCAAGGAATAAATAGGAAAATGAAAAGTGGAACATCATGAATTTCATTTTTTGAGATTTCTAGAGAGATAAAATAGACAGAAGATCTTTGGGAACCAGGAAGATCCAAGAGCTTCTAGTCTTGTCCCTGAAGTAGAAATCAGGCTCAGGTAGCTGATAAAGGATCAGTGGAGCTCAAATCTGAGGTGGGAAAGCTGGTTTAGAGGGTTTTTGGAAATGTTTGTTTGCAGCCTGGTGCAATGGTTTGCTTATTCCAATACCATTGTTGGGTCTCAAGTTCAAGACATGACATGCCCTCATCCAAAAAAAAAGGTTTCAGGAAATTCCATTTTCCTTCCGATTCTTGCTTCTAGGAGGTAATGTGAGGTAAGGAAAGTTTAATTTTATGTTGTTTGTGTGTCAAGATCACTGATTTGAAGTTGAAAACGCAGCATTTATTGAGATTTATGATGTTTATATGGTGTTTGCGGGTTTTGGTAAGGGTCCTGCCTGTTGAGGGAGAGTTTATGCTCAAAATGTAGTTGTATGTGCTCTTTTTATGCAGTTTTGAAGTGGGTGCATTGTAATGTTGGTTTTGGCTCAAAAAGAAAATGGTTTGGAACCCAAAAACCCCGAAATACATGACTGTTCTGGGTATCTTTGCTCAGTGAGCCTTTACAGGCTCAAGGCCAAAAAGGAGAAAGGTGGATTTTCCCTCGGCGAGATTGGTCTCACTCCGCAAAAGTTGTGAGCATAATCATGTTGAAATACATGTTTTATGAATGTTGTTTTGGAGGAGAAAATGTTAGCTTCAGTTAAAAAAGCAAGTTGAAAAATGTTTTAAAGTTTTAAGATCTCATTGTGTGGATCTAAGATATGGTGTTATACGTCCAAAGTTGAAAAACCTTCAGCAAGAAAGTTCTCTTCTAAAGTGAAAGTTCTTCTAAAGTTGTCTCCTCTTAAGTTTTTATTGAAAACAAACAGTATGGAGGAAGCCAATTCAAACTTGGCCTAAGTAGCTATGAGTTGGCACAAAACCAAGGATTCATGATAGTAACCTAGGGCTGGAAGCGGGTGTGGTATTTAGAGGATATGCAACAGACTAATACCATTTAGGACTTGATTTATGTATGTCAATGTTATGATAGGCTCACACCCAAGTTGTACTATACTTAATTGATGGAGGCCCATGGGCAAAGCCCAACTATTAGGGCCATGGCCAAGAGGATGCATGAAGAGTGGGCCAGTGCTAAAGAAAAGCCCATAGTTCTTTTTAGTTGGGCTATACTCTAAAGTCCATGTAGTGTAGGTTTGGGCCTAATGGGCTTGTATTTTGTTTTGGGCCTTGTATTTTGGCCAAGTAGTTTAGGAATTTCATTTCAATATAATTTGGAATTTAGGTTAAAGAGGAGTTTCATGTGCATCTCAATTTAAATGTCATTAGCATCACATTTAGAGAGCATTTCGGCCATGTGCTTTCACGCACATGGAGTGACCGAAATTCACTCCCAAATGCATGCTAAATAACATTCAAATTGAGTAGCACATGGGGGGTGACCGGTTTGGCACCAAAATTTGAATTTAAACATTCAAATTTTGGCGCCTAAGGTTTAATTAACCATACCATGGTTTAAATTAAACCTTAGGTTAGCCAAACTTCCCTAGCACACTTCCTTAGCCTATATATTTCATTTGGACGTGTAATTTGGCACTTTGGCAATTGAATGAGAAAATTCTTCTTCTTAGAATCCTTTTCTCTAAACCGAAGTCACCAAAGGAGAGTACTATCTCCAATTCACCTTGAGCTATCCTCTTTGTAGTTCTAGGTGAGATCACTTCTTCTACTCAAGGAGCTTAGTTCTCCTTGTTCTTCATCGGCGCCTCAACTTGGCCGAAACTCCTCCTTGAACAATTCTTCAAGGACATCCAAGAAGAGACGTTAAAGGTTCCATGGAGTTGGCATCAATCAAGACTCCATCAAGTGGTATCAAGAGCTCGGTTTCTTCCTAAGATGAGTCACTAATTCTTTGAGTGATCTATCTTCTTGTCTACACCAATTCGCTTTTCATGTCTTGAGTTTGTGCTACCTAGATCTAATTTTTGTTCATCTTATTGATAGATCTAGTTTTCATTTCCGGAAAAATTCTATATGGTTCATAACTTGTTCTTATGGATCATGAAATTCAAAAATGCTTTAGGTTCATGTGCTTGTGCGTTTTCATTTTATTTGAGTCTTCTTAAATTTTGATTTCAATCGGTCATATGAACAATCTTTGAGTCTTTGATTTTTGAATCTATCCGGTTTTGTCAATAGAAGTCATGTTTAGTCATTTTACTTGTCAATAACTCTTGTTAAGCTTGCTTGCTCCGAATTTGTGTGAAGTATGATATACAATACTGTTTTGACCGATTGATATATACAAGCTTTGGTGCTTTTGATTTTAAATTTTTTGAGTTCATGAATCACCATTAGATCATTGGTAATTCTCCTTAGAGTTCAGATTCCATTATGTCATTTGGTTATCTACATTTTCTTTAAATTCCGGATGATAAATTCTCTTGATGTGAATGATAGTTGCTGAAACTTGAAGTTGAAATTTGAATTAGACTAGACTGTGGATCATGGAGTGGAATTGGAAAAACAAGAAAAGCATGACACATTTCATGTCATTTTAAAACAATTTGTGTTGCATTTGAAATTCAAATTACTTAAAGATTACCAATCCGGTGCCTAGGCTAGATATAAGACCGAGACTCGCATTTGATTTTCAAAGAAGAAAAAAAAGGCAACTCCTAAGCATTGCAAAAAAAGTATTAAAAAAAAGAGAAGCAAAGAAAAGTATAAGAAAATTTTAGTTAAAAAAAAAAAAAAAAAAAAGCCAAATAGGAGTTTAAAATTTCTTTGATGCATTCGATCTTTTGTCTAAATTTTCTGGAAAATTTGAGCAACTATTGAAAGCAATTGACATTGTGATTCCTTGTTTTGATTTGTCATTCTTCTCTAGAACCATTCCTAAGAAAATCTTTTGAGTGCTTGCCATCTCTAAATTACCTTTCATTCTAGTTTGTGTCATTGATTGGCTTTCTTGAGTATCAACTTCTCTTGGTTTGTTCTTAACACTTTTATTTCTCAATGCGGAACAATGTGTGGACTAAGCATCCTTGGTAGAAGCTAGTACTACAAGGGTCATCAAAAGGATACTAAGGAAGACTTGTGGAAGCATTCAAATTTGGTGATAGTTGAATAGGATTCTACAAAATAAATCAAACACCATCTTAAAACACTTGGAGCTGCTGCAACCAAAATTCTGGAGTGCTGATCAAGCTGGACCAATCTGGTTCAGCAAGGGGCATTTGAAAATTTTTGTAAAAAATCTGGAAAAACAGAGTTTAGAGACAGAATTAGAGACAGAAAATTTTCCATCACAAAAATTTTGTCACTAAATCCGTCTCTAACTCGGTGGCTAATTTCTTTAATTTTCAAAGCTACCTTTGATTCAATTCTGCATTTGTTTTTGATTCTTTTGCTGTAATTGATCATTTGGAGTGTCTTGGGAGTGTCTTAGGTACACGACCATCTCTCCATAGTACCTTATAGCTTGCGTTAGTCTTGGTGAAAGTGATCCTTGAAGGATTTTGGTACCTATCAAGCTTTCACCTTAGGAAACCGTCTAGTTAGCCTTTAAAATTCAGCAATTCACATTCCTAGTTGAATATTTGTTCGTCTAGATAATCCACAAGGCACAAGAAAAACAAAATTTTTCATAAATAAATTGTTTTGGTAAAGATTAACTACAAGGGGGATTAGTAACTTTTACCCAAAGAGACTTGGTTATTAAGTGGCTCTTAGTAGCTCTTAGTCTAAACCTTTCAAAATTTCTTTCCAAAATTCTTTTCTAAAAGAAAAACTTTTGCCTATAATGGAAGATTTTTCTCCTCATCAAAGTGATAGTGATGCAAGTGCTTACAAAGACTTTTCAAATTGAAATCACTAAAACTTTGGAGAGAGCAAGAAGCCAAACATGGTAGAGGAGGCTCAACTTGCAATCTTAGAG